AGGTGTTTGCAGTTCACACACATATGTACCTTACCATCCTTTTTAGGTACTGGAACAACATTGGCGACCCATTGTGGATAGGAGGTGACATCTAAGAATCCTACGTTGAACTGCTTCATGACTTCAGTCTTAATTTTCTCTGACATTTCTGGCCTCATGCGACAAACTTTCTATTTTACCGGAGGGCAGTCTTCTTTTGTCGGCAGACAATGGACCACGATGTCAATGTCGAGCCCTGTCATGTCTTCATATGACCAGGCGAAGACCTCAATATAGTCATGTAGTAACTGAGATAAGCGCTTCTTGACGGTAGGCTCCAGGTTGGCACGTACCTTGACCTCTTTTTTGTCCTCTTCAGTACCCAGGTTAACTGTTTCCACTTGCTCTTCGTGGGGCTATATGGTCCTTTCTTCTTGTTGCAATAACCTGGCTAGTTCCCCTGGTACCTCATAATCTTCCTCACCTTCGTCTTTGGCTTGGTAGATTGGAATTTCAAAGTCATGATAGGCCATAGCAGAATCGTTACCCATGGGATCCTGAGTGGATGTGGATCTGCATTTCGATATGTGAGTGTGTGTAAGATCATAACTATCATTGAAAAATTATAAAATTTAAAAAGAGAAAAACAATGAGCGTAAAAATTTTCATGCAAAAACTTCCATGATTTATTGATGACATATGAAGATGAAGTAACAACCCTCACAAATGGACCGTTGTGCCTCGGGTAAGACACAAGGTTTTAAAAGTATAAATTGTTTATTTATTATATATCTAACTAAAATTGAAAGACGATTACTTTTAAATAAAAGTAATAGGGACAAAATCTTTGGCTTCCCGGTTGTTGAATCCTCCGCTGACGGTTGGGGAGATCCACTCGTCTAGGTCATAGTTACTATCACCGTCTTCCACCGTGTAGACTCCCTAATTGCTGATACGCAAAGGTGGTCCCCCGACGCGAGTCTGTTGAACAGCCCTTTGTGCCTCCGAGGTGAAGCCCAAACCAAATTTATCAGATTGGTAAGGAATATCCAGGAGTTGACCCCAGATAGTGAATTCACCTTCTTCAATTGCTGCTCTAGCATCCTTCAATGAGGCCATTTTCAATGGTAGTCTGGTAGCTCTTAGAGTTTTGGTAGAAGTCTTGGTTGTTGCAAATGTTTGTGGAACCTCCTCGAAATGCTGACACAGAGTTTCAATGAACTCACCATCCATTTCCACGTATCTGAAAGAGTTCAGGTGACTGACCATATATTCCTCCTCCCCGTGAACAGTGATGATCTTTCCCTTGATCGGGTATTTCAACATCTGATGTAACATTGAGGTGACGGCACCAGCGCCATGGATCCAAGGTCGGGCTAACAAATATGAATAGGAAGAGAAGATATCCATTACGTAGAAAGTTGAATCAAAGGTCTCAGAACCAATTTTGATGGGGATGTCCACCTCCCCATGCACCATTCTTTTCAAATCATCGAAGGCCCTTACCACTATGTTGCTGGGTTTTAAGGTCAAACCTTCATAGTCTAGTCTATCCAGAGCCTTCTTAGGCAACACGTTCAATGATGAACCGGTATCTACCAGGACATGGGCTAAAGTAGTGCCCTTGCATTCGACAGAGACATGCAACGCATGATTGTGTTTCCTCCCTCTAGGTGTCAGATCAGCGTCAGAAAAGCCCAAACCGGTATCTGCTGTCAGACTAGCCACACAATCTTCGAATTGGTCAGCAGAGGTTTCCTGTGGAATATGGGCAGTTTTAAGAAATTTCACCAAACCCTTCGCATGAGCTTTGGAGCATAACATTAAGGTTAGCATAGAAATCTTTGAAGGGGTCTACCCTAGCTGTTCGACTACATTGTAGTTGCTTTTCTTTATAATTTTCAAAATTTCTTCTATTTCCTTCTTGGAAGCCTCTAGGAAAGATAATGGCTGTGCCTTCATCTGGACAGGCTCAACCAAAATGTCTTTGCTCTGAGTCTCGGTCGACTCAGTGATAGGGGTGTCAGCAGGGATAATCATAGGAACTGTGGTAGTAGTATCAATAGGAATAAAAGCAGGAATGATCACATGAACAGTAACAACTTTCGGAGGAGAAATATCAGGGGAGAACACTCTTCCACTTCTGGTTATTTTGCTAGTTCCCACAATGTTGTCAATGTTGGGGTAAGCCTTCTAAAAAATTGAGTCTTCATCAGCCAGCCAATCTTGCTTGATGTCGTGGTAGTAGACGCCGCCCCCATAGTTCCAAGGAACAATTTTATCTGAGGAGTATGGGATTGGTCATGGCATAGTAATTATTAGTGGAGTCACCTTCGGAACGGATGTAATCCTTACGGGTCTTTTGGTGGAGACCCTGGGAGGATTGGCGTAAATGGTTATTATTGAAACATCCTTGTAAGAAATGGTTGGGACGAGATTCTTTTCAAAAAAAATCTCTTTGTCATCCATCAGGCGCTGAACACCTTCCTTCAATAAGTGACAACCAATCGGTAGAGATAAACAGAGGTGGCAACCTTCGCCATAACCCAGAAATAAACCGGCCTTCAATAGGTCCCTCTTGACAGTCAGGAGAGGAGTAACAAGTTTATCAACAATAGTAACAAATACATCATCTTCAATGGCGTTAACACCACGGCCGTGCTTGGGCATATGAGCAGTGATAACATTTGGGATCTCGAGGGCGTCAAATTCAATTTCCTTTTCCTCGAGAAGGTCTTGCACCTTGTTTTTCAAAGCCCAACAGTCGTTTGTATCACGACCTGGACTTTCTGAATGGTAAGCACAACGAGCATTCGGGTTGTAACGGGGAGAGACAGTGTTGGGATTCTTATGAGCTTCTCGCAAGGTTACCAGATTAGATCTCAACAAATATGGCAAGACTTGAGATAGCATCATATTTATCCGGGTAAAATATATTACCGATATTTCTGTTCTCGGCTGACTATTCCTTTGTTGGGTAGGTGCAGCCTTAGAGATCATGACATCCCCTACTGTTGGACGGTGTTCAGTTTTGTCTTGATTCCTTTGATGGTACACAACACCAACCTTTTTTCCCCAGCATATGGTTTCTTCATCGTGCTTGAGGAAGCATCTCTTTGAATTTTCCCACTTTTTATACATGCTTCTACCCGTTCACCCGTCATGATTAATTCGGTGAATCCAGTTGAGGAGCTTTCAATCAGGTGTTTGAAAAATGGACCCGATAGTGTGCCTAAGAACATATCCACCAATTCCCCGTCAGATAGATTGGGTTGGACTCTTCTCGCGAGATCCCCCATTTTTGAGGATATGTTTTGAAACCTTCACCTGTACTCATGGACATGCCTTGAAACTGTGTTCGAGTTGGAGCTAAATCAGCATTATACTGGTATTATTAGTAAAAGGCGCCAACCAAGTCTTCCCAATTGCGAATATTGGTCCCTTCCAACTGATAGAACTAATCCAATTGTGTCCCTGACAAGCTTTCTTGGAAGAAATGTACCCGTAGGTCCCTATCAGCGGTATGGGGTTGAATTTTCCTGACGTATGGCCTTAAATGTAGCTTTGGGCAAGAGACACCTGAAACAACCGGCTGAAAATCATCAAACAATGAAGTCGCCATCGAACGTCTTTTATCCCACATGTAGGGAAAGGTAAACATCGAGAAAACCTGATGAGGGAGAAGTCACGGTCTTGCGATCGAGAGATCGGGTAAGGGAGTCTGTTACGCGAGGGGAAGGTATTAGCACCCCACACGCCCGTAGTACTCTACGGTATCCACTCTTGCTATCTATCTTATGGGTGTGTTTAATCTATGCTTACTGTTTACTATACTAATGGAGGGAATGCATGTAAAAGAAAAGGGAAAAATGTAGGGAAAATAAAATTGTGCTCGCCTGGGCCCTAGCCCAATGCCTACGTATCCTTTTTGAGGAATCAGAGCTACCGTAGTTCGGCTCACATTTTTTTATTTGTTTGTGTTTTTTATGTGGACGAAGTTAATTCCGCCTTCTGCCGCAGCTCGACCTTTGGAGACTTATGCGTTGGCACAGAAGTAAATTAATCATGTCCTTACCTGAAAAGGGTTTAAAAAGGTGCTCGAGCGCACAAAAGATTTGAGTTGGTTTTGTATTTTGTTGTAGATGATGACTGATTGACCTCAAGAGAGAGATATTAGCCATTTTTCTACTTAGCCATGAAAGGAGTTTTTGAGAATTGAACCACACCTATGCTTGAGACGAAGAACAATAAGATCGAGAAGAGACCCGCTTATCATTTCTCGTACTAAGCAAAAGCATGATTCTCATCAATAGTTTTAAAGTATTTTGAATTTTGAAAGAAAAAGAAGTTTTTGTTTTAGATGCGTATGCGAAAGGAGAAAGAAAAGTCAGAAGGAGACTAGCTTACTTCTAAACTTAATGTTATTATGCGCGATTAGACCTAAAGTTAGAATTTGTGAGGGAATTCTACCTAATGTTAGCATGTTTGAATTGCGATAAAATACCGAAAATGAAGAATAAGATAGATTTGCGACAATACCGAACGGAGAAGGTCCGTTGCCTCTTCAAAATTGTGCGAGCGGTAAGAAAACTCTACCGAAGCCCCCTTGGGCAAGTGATTGAAGAATTCACCCCGAGCATTCCACATTGTAAGAGTTATGTCGATGCTTCAAAAATCTTGACTAGAAAATGGCAATAAAAATGATTATCGAATATGAAAAATAAAATAAAAAAATTCTAATCGAAATTCTAAAAAGAAATTCTATTCGAAAACATTCTATTATTTTTATTGTCAATTGAGAGGAAAAAAAAATTAAACTAAAAGAGAAAAATTAAAATAATAAAAAAAGGGAAAAAAAAGAAGAGTTAGGGGGTATGAAGTCTAGAAATGTGGGTGTTGAAGTAATTTGCCCAAAAAGATTTTTAACCTTTTTATTTATTATTTACTTAATTCAAATTAACAATAATTATAATTAAGTAAATAAAACAATAAGACAAAAACTAAAAAAAAGAAAGAAAAGTATGAAAATTGGAAAGGGAAAAGGGTTTTTTGAGAGCTATATCTCTTCTTCTCTCGCGAACGGAACAGCGGCGGCGCCTCCGCCTTCCTCACCGAGAATCGCCGGTGTTAAGCTCCGTTTCAGCTTCCGCCGCAATCGGTTTCCTCACTTTGCTCCGTCTCACTCTCTCTTGCGACATCACTCAACCTCTCCGTCCGGTTGCGATTCCATCTTCGCCGTAAGTCACGCCGCCACTGTACTCTCTTCTTTCTTCTCCGCGTTTGCTTCCATTTCTTTTCTTCGTCTACTTCTTGCTACTGTATGTGTTGTTGTTGTGTGTGTTAGAAGTGAGGTGTAGAGAGATGAAAATGGCGATGGAGAAGTTGTTTCGTTTGAGGAATCTTTGAAGGTGATTCATGCTTTGATGATTGTGGCGATCCATGCTTTGATGGTGAGTCCAGGTTGAAGTCTCGTTGTATTCTTTGAGGAATGTCGATCAGCTTTGATGATTCCGGTGATTCAGGCTTTGATGATCGTGAAGATGATTCCGGCTTTGATGATGGTGGTGATTCTTCTGGGAAATTGAGAGGTAATCCCCATCTTTTTTTCTGTTGAAATCGTATCTATATAATGTTCTGCCTCTATGCCTATGCTGTGAGCTCTCCCCCATATTGATCATAGATTGCTCCCTTTTCAGGATCACTGAGTACCTCATAAGCTTCAGAAATTTGCTTGAACTTAGCTTCTGCAGGGTTTTTATCAAGGTGCCATTTCTTGGCAAGTTTTCTGTAAGCCTTCTTCAATTCTTCGTCTTTTGCGTTCTTATCAACCTGCAAGATTTTGTAGTAGTCTACACTCATTTCTTCTTCTCTCTTTCGCTTCAGTTTTGCGGTTTTGATTCTTCACTTCGTGATTTGTTGTGCTCTTGAAGATTGAAGATAAAGATGCTTGAAGAATTATGTTCTTGAGAGTTGCATAGGAATGTTTCAGATAATAATTTAGAGGTTCATTTTTCCCCATGAGTTTTTGTTTTCTGGATAATGAATCCCCTCTACCCTCCTCTTTTTCTATTTGTGATCTCCTTCGATTAACTTCTCAGATTTGTCGCACACGACCGTGAGCAATCGTCTCCGCGTCTCCATGTCTTCGTTCATCTTCAATTCATTCAGTGATGCAACAAAGTGTTGTTGTTGTAGATGCAGTGATGTTCGGAGATGATGATGGAGGTTGATGCGAGTGAAACGATTGCAGTTGTGAAGGTTGAAGTAGAAGGTTATGGTGATGGTGATGGTGCGGTTTTAGAGAGAGTGCAGAGAGAAATTCTGATTTTCTGCAGAGTTGTGATTGTGGTGATTCTTTTCAATGATTGAAGAACGAGATGATTGAGAGGTAATAAAAAATTTTCTGTGTTGAAATTCCTCTCTCTATTCTGTCCCTCCCTCTTCTATTTGTGATCCCCTGGTTATATAAATGCTGCGAACTCTATTTATATATGCTGGAAGTTTGTTATGGTTGAATTGAATCTGAACTGTCGAATTGAATGAGTTAGTTATGGAATAGATGGTGAGATTTGAATCAGTTAGAGGTTGTTTATGGACTTTGTAATTCTGTTGGGATTAGTTGAGATATGGTTTTGGGTTAAGTTAGAAAAATGTTAGAAATTAGTTAGGTGTTTGTTACCGTTAGGAATGAGGGAAAAGTTAGTTATAGATATGTTAGTTGGTTAGAATAATGTTAGAAATTCTGTTAGTTTCTTTCATCTCAATAAAACAACATGAATAATAGAATTCCAGTAGCAGTCAATATCACTGAGAGAGTCACCTGAGTTGTAGGTCTCCCCTTCCCCATGAAACATCCAACAATAAGTACAGCAAGTGGTGTAAGCCTCTTTATTGCAATATACATTGGGATATTGACTCCTTTCAAACTGGCCAAAGCAAATGCAACATTGGTATTATAGAAAAATGAAACCGGGAACTGCTGCTTGGCCGTTTCCATATCCATTCCTCTGGCTCTTGTGTATCCCATTTTTCGACCAAAGTGTATAAGCAGAGTAGTAAATAGTTGCTGCAAAGTGAGTAAAGTCATTGAATACGTATACTGCATAAGAACAGCTTTATTGATAAAACCATCACCATTGAAGCAAATCCATAAGAAACCGCCGCAAACAAACTAGAAGAAAAAGAACTGGTTTCCGCATCGGCACGGATCTCCATGGCCGATTAACACGGAAATCGAGATCGATCTAACCGAATCAGCACCGTTTAGTAATACTCCGTAAAACCTAAAGTGAAACCCCGATAAAGGTTTGTTTACATGTTACTGAGAAATAAATATAAAAAATAAAAAGAGAATGAGGTGAGGTGAGGGTGAAATTGAAAACTGAAGAAAAAAGAGGATAGTGAGGAGAAAGTGTATGGTTGTCTTGTTATGAATGGTATTGGGAATTGGTTTTGACAATTGGAAGTGTAGTGTATGCGGTTCATGTTTATGACAGTTTATCCAATATATATTTTTTTTGCAGGTTTGGTTCATATCAAGATGATGTGAAGTTGGAACAAAGGCGCATAACGCGAAGTTTTGGAAGCTTGAAGTTTGAAACATGAAGAATGATTGAGAATTTAGGATAGGTTTTGGTAAAAATGCATAGATGTTATGTATAATTGTAATGGAATTTGGACTTGTATGTATTTGAATAATTGTAATGTATGTTGACTTTATTTCCACATAATGAAATGGACTTTGTATGAATTCAAATAAATGGTATTAATCCAAAATATTTGCAAGGCAACCAAAAGAGACATGAATCTTGAATGAATCCAAGAGAGGATATTTGGACAATATTTTGATGGTTGGATGAATTTGATGCATGCTTTTTCATATTTGTGGTTTGAATTCCAAGAAAAGCCACGCGAATATTTAAGAACTTTGATTCTCTCCAAATCCACTTCAAATATTGATGAATGAATTCTAATCAAACCACAGCTTCAGTGAACCCCTAATTCAATTCAATTCCTCAGTATAAACCAAACTTGTGTGTCAAGCAATAAACATTTGAAATAATGACACCTTGATCACAATCAACATCTTGTACCATGTCCCGATTATATGAGCACTAGAATAACGACGTCTTGGACCCCTTCTCAATAGATGATAATGACTATGCCCTGAGGGATTCTTTGCAGATGAATATGGAAGATGAGACATGCGAATACCTTGATATGGAATGAACCTCAGGTAGAATGCTGACAAGCTCAAATATGGAAATGTATAAACCCTGATTTTTAGCTTCGTCTCATAAAACCTTGCAACTTGGCATTGGGAAGAAAAGAATAGCATCGTAGCTTGATGATGATAAGGTCCATGAAATGAAAACCTAGCTTCAAACAGATTATTAATGGAGAAATCAACCGAAACAAGCTTGTGCGAAGATGGGAGCCTTAAAGCCATACACCAACCCTTATTCCTCGAAATCCATGATCTTATGCCAATTTATTGATTAATGATGCATGATGTGTTAGATGACCTAATGTGAGAAAAATGCAAAAAAATGCGTAAGCCAGGTAGGAAGTAAAAGGGGTAGGACAAATTTGGGGTATTACAGCTGCCCCTATTTAATTGTCTTAAACCTGAAAGTACGATTGGCACATGACTTTCGGAAGTTCAAAGTTGAAGATGATTAAATATCAATGCCAAAAATTTGTCCTGAGGGAGAAAGAGTATTTCTTTATATTTTTATTTTTGTGATCTGCCGGGGAAAAGAAATTTGTTTTTTTTTTCAATGAAGAGACAGAGACTGGACTTGTATCGTGGCTTGATGCCAATACAAGACAAATGGTTGGTATGAAAAGACAGCGGACGAGGTCTACGGGCGACCTACGACCCGAGGGTGACACATGAGAGTGATTTGACAGGGAACCTAGACAAAGGGCGATCTCAGGTTCTAAGACAAAGTATATGGAAAGAACCTAGCCAAGAGGCGATCTCGGGTTCGACGATGATTTGAAGGAAGAACCTAGCCAAGAGGCGATCTCAGGTTCGACGATGATTTGAGGGAAGAACCTAGCCAAGAGGCGATCTCAGGTTCGACGATGATTTGAGGGAAGAACCTAGCCAAGAGGCGATCTCAGGTTCGACGGTGATTTGAAGGAAGAACCTAGCCAAGAGGCGATCTCAGGTTCGACAAAGGTTTGAAGGAAGAACCTAGCCAAGAGGCGATCTCAGGTTCGACGATGATTTGAGGGAGGAACCTAGCCAAGAGGCGATCTCAGGTTCGACAAAGATTTGAAGGAAGAACCTAGCCAAGAGGCGACCTCAGGTTCGACAGTGATTTGAAGGAAGAACCTAGCCAAGAGGCGATCTCAGGTTCGATGATGATTTGAAGGAAGAACCTAGCCAAGAGGAGATATCAGGTTTGAAGAAGGGAACATGGGTTATGACATGATGATTGTTTAGATAAGCGACACGGATGAGCATCAAGAAAGTTTAAACACGGACGAGTGTTTGAATCAATACGGACGAGTATTGAAAGAAGATACAGGTGAGTATCAAAAGGTTAAACACGGACGAGTGTTTGATTCAATACGAACGAGTATTGAAAGAAGATACGGACGAGTATCAAAAAGTATAAACACAGACGAGTGTTTGATTCAATACGGACGAGTATTGAAAGAAGATACGGACGAGTATCAAAAAGTATAAACACGGACGAGTGTTTGATTCAATACGGACGAGTATTGAAAGAAGATACAGACGAGTATCAAAAGGTTAAACACAGACGAGTGTTTGATTCAATACGGACGAGTACTGAAAGAAGATACGGACGAGTATCAAAAGGTTAAACACGGCCGAGTGTTTGAATCAATACGGACGAGTATTGAAAGAAGATACGGACGAGTATCAAAAGGTATAAACACGGACGAGTGTTTGATTCAATACGAACGAGTATTGAAAGAAGATACGGACGAGTATCAAAAAGTTAAACACGGACGAGTGTTTGATTCAATATGGACGAGTATTGAAAGAAGATACAGACGAGTATCAAAAGGTTACACACGGACGAGTGTTTGATTCAATACGGACGAGTATTGAAAGAAGATACGGACGAGTATCAAAAAGTATAAACACTGACGAGTGTTTGAATAACTGACCCGATGGGTGTTTAGGAAACGTGACACATACGAGTGCTTAGGAATGGAAACGAACGAGTGTTTAGGAATAGACACGGACGAGTGTTTAGGGAACCGACTACCAGACAAGAACTGGGTTTAGAACGGAAAAGTGTATTGATTTTGTTTGGCATTGAAAAGGTGAAGGTCACTGATTGGGGATTTTGGGCATGATATCCTTCTGTAGGGATGTATTGTTGTCCTTGAATAATTCAGGTCTTTTGTGTAAGGTACCTGGTCTGGCTTATGCTTTGTATGCATGTTTGAATTTCTTTTGACGCAAAGATCCACTCTGATGGACCAGCTACGCGCCTTGAGGATGAAATGTTATGCAGTGATAACTATATGCAATGCGAAGAAATAAACTTCATGGGGATAAAAGGAGGCTTGCTGGGAGCCATTGCTCATCATTGGGGAT